ACTCTTAACTTTTATAAAGAATATCTCTTTGGATTTGAGACTTTAATCTTTGCAACTTTACATATCTTCTTTATGCACCAAGAGCTTGTAACACTCCAAAGAGAAAGGAAAAATTGAAATCGCATCATATGACCCCTTTAATTTTGTACTGCTTTAACAATTAATCAACATTTTATTCAAAATAATTTTAATAATAATTGTATTAATTATTATTCTGTATATACATATGTTTTTACTTTTAGTTTTTTTTTCCTTTCATTTTTTCAGTTATAAAAATAACAACTCTCTCTCAATATATACACTATACAATTCTATATAACATTTATAATTTTTAAAAAAAGTACTGTACATTGATATGTTAATGTTTATTGGAAAAAAAAAGATATTTAATTAGTGTATGTTTTAGGATACAGTGGTTTTTTTTTGGCTATGCAAAAATTTATTATTATTGCCAAATTTCATAATAATACATGCAAAAAAACTAATTTGATTTTAACATGCAAATTACTAATGAAATTCATAGTCTTGAGAATTATTCTTGAGTTTTATAGAAGTATTTATTTGAAATATACACGTACATACTTGGATATTTACGGTTTTATATTTTAATTATTATTCCAAATTTTTCCCCCATTTCTTTTCATTTATAAGCAGCGTTATGCATACCATATTATATCATATTTAATGTTTATAATTATGGAAATTTTATATGCTAACGCTTACTGCAAAAAAAGAGACTTCATCAGCGATTTTTGAGGACGTCAATTAATTGGTCTTGACTGTATACTAAAACAACACCTTTAAAAAATATCTCTTTTTTAATTACAGCAAAACTCTAAATGAATATCTTTAGGAAAATCATCATATCATATAAACATCTATACCATGTGTATCTGTGGAAAAATATAAATGTAAAAAAAAAAACACTCCATTCCAGTGCTTTTGTGCAACAAGTGGAACTTGTTCTGAATAAAAACTGGTTCTCAGGTTTCAAGTGAGCTAAAACAAAAAAACTTTTCACAGAGATGCAAACAGTATAGTGGTATTTCTAGTAGCACAAGGCACTAACAAAGAGCAGATCATATAACCAAAGTGTAAATATAACCTGTGTTTACCTTGAGGCAGATAAGTACGGTAACAAAGAATATGGAGATGGAGAGGAAGAGGAAAAACATGAGGAACCAGGCGCTCCAGTGCAACCAGTTACTGAGACCCATCATGCGCATGTACTCCTGCAAAACACACACACACACACGGCTCAGTCGAGCTTTCTCACATCAAGAGCAACAGAATCCATGTCCATCTTTGTGTACCTTCAGTTTCCTCTCCTTCTCCTGCACCACAGCGCGGACGATATTCAGAGAGGAGTAGGTGAAGCTGAGCACCAGCAGCAGCGGCAGCTGGTTCTGGATGGCCAGGATGAAGACGTCGTAGATGAACGCTGGGTAAGGGAAGCGGGACAGCAGCACTTGGGCTCGCTTGAGGAGGGCCGCCGCCGCCGTGCTGTTGTAGGCCTTCATGATGGCCCGGTCCACCGCATGCTGCACCTGCAGGAAGCCCTCGCGGTAATATCCTGTCCAGAGACGCCAGAGACACATACAGTACTCATGAGATTCACTCAGTCAAACTTATGAGGGTTTTAATTGAATCAAATAAACTGAGGAGAATATTCTGGGTTCTGTACAAGTACAAGCTCAATCGACAGCATTTGTGGTTTTATGTTGGATACAACAAATATTAATTTCCACTTGTCCTGCCTTTTCTTTAAAAGAGCAAGAATCTGGGTTACAGTGAGGTTAATGCAATGCAAGTAAATGAGGCCAGTCTGTACATGTTAAAACTCACTGTTTCATTAGTAAAGCCAGAGAAGACAATGTGTGTGTGAATATGATTTTACTAGTGAGACAAAATGTATTAATCTATTGTGTTACATTCAGTTTTAAAAGTTTAACTTAAAAAAAAAAAAAAACATAAAAAAGGTTTAAAAAAAACAAACATAAAACTTAATATGCTTTAACAAAAATATGAATGTAAATGCTTTAATAAAATTATACGTTTTATATTTTTGCTATCAAATCCTCAAAAAAATAGGAAAAACATTGGATTGTAAATGCCTCACCTTAACCTCAGTCTTTGGTCATTTAAGACCAATGCAATTACATGGAGATGAAAGGACGACGGTGAAGCGTAAAGAGTCATGCGAGCGGAGATCAAGATGTAATTTGTAGCACCGTGCCAAAAATAGAGGTCGACAGTCATCAAAGTTCAGAGCCGATGCTAAAGCAGCGCTCATGATTAATAACAGACACGCTGCAGGCGTTTGAAGCCGCTGGCAGCACTGGAGGCCATCAGACGAAGAGAGCGCTAACTAATCCAAATCACTTCCTAATCAATAGCTTGCCCCATCACAGGAAACCTCACATACAGGAAGAGATCATTAAGGAAGCAAGAGAACAAGCCGGTTTATCTCATCTGTTGACGGTAACTGACAGCTGGTGTATCAAGTCTGTTGAAGGAAGAAATCGATCGGGTCCAATTTGCACGTTTTTGAATGAACTGATACTATTGTATTAGCCTATACTTGTAGTTTTGCAGCTGTTAGCTTTAACATCATCTATATTTTAATGCATAAAAATTCAACATTAAGCACACACGTATTTACAGACTCACTCTTGGAGAAATGTAGCGTTACATCACTTGCTCAGCAATGGATGCTCTGCAGTGAATGGGTGCCGTCAGAATGAGAGTCCAAACAGCTGATAAAAACATCACAATAATCCACAAGTAATCCACACCACTCCAGTCCATCAGTTAATGACTTGTGAAGTGAAAAGCTGTGTGTTTGTAAGAAACAAATCCATCATTAAGATGTTTTTAAACTTTAAACTGTCGCTAATGGCTAAAACACGAGTCCTCTATTCAAAATATTGCTTTCTCCAGTGAAAAAGTTATCTGATCTGAATCAGGAGAGAAATATGCACAGAATGAGCACAATTTACAAGTGTAAACAGTCCATAACATTTCTAAACAAATATGTGGGTGGATTTTGGTGTGAGAGACAACAGAGGATAAACATTTTCACTGGACGAAACATTATTATGTATTATGGACAGACAAAACGGTTCAAAGTAAAAAAAACGTCTTAATCATGGATCTTGTACAAACATGCAGCTTCTCGCCTCACAAATCATTAACTGATGGACTGGAGTGGTGTGGATTACTTGTGGATTATTGTGATGTTTTTATCAGCTGTTGGGACTCTCATTCTGACGGCACCCATTCACTGCAGTGATGAGCAAGTGATGTAAAGCTACATTTCTCCAAATCTGATGAAAAAACAAACTCATCTACATCTTGGATGGCCTGAAGGTGAGGATATTTTCAGCAAAGTTTAGAAATTCACCGCCTGTAATTTTCTTATGCTGGGTTTATTGGTACTTTACAGCAACATTTCCCACAATTCATCAGTGTGGACTGACCTGGCGTGCCCCCGTCTGGCTCGTGTTGTTCTCTGGGCCCGGGCAGCTGGATCAGCGGGAACAGACTGAGCGTGTGCCAGTCCAGATCACTGTTGGGGTTGAGCTCAGACTTCTCGCGCGGCGGAGCGTTTCTGGGGCTGTACGTGAAGCGCAGATGATAGCTGACCTGCCACACACGAGATCAACCGTTACTTCGCAAATGATTTTCATATGATGTGACTCAACGTTTCATGTAATGCAGGGTCAAACCCCAAAGTAACATCAGTGTCTTGATTAATGGCACAATAAAGACTGAAAAACTCTTGTGGGGTTTGAACCAACAACCTTACGCTTACCATACCAGATAATACTGAATATTGTGTAATATACACTTGTGATATTTTATTTGACATTCAGAAAAAAAAAAGTATAATAATAAAATACAACTTTTTTTAAACCCAAGGTTTACTGTGGTTGTTTGTAGGGCTGCATAATATGGTCCAAAACTGTGACTATATGTAAATATGACTATATAATAATAATAATAATAATAACAATAGTAACTATCGTTAGTAAATAAAAATATTACACACGCATTTTTAACTGTAAAATCAAGTGTTTAACAATAATAAGAATAATAATAGTTGCAAAATATGAAAATATTTGTTGTAATATTTCACAGTAAAATACAAAAATTAATATTCAATAATAATAATCATCATCATCATCATTAAATATTACTATTATGAATAAATAAAAGTACAACGCAAACAAACTTTACTATAAAACAAAGAAATTAAGTGTTTAATATGAATAATTAAAACAAAACAAGTAGTATTTCTGTTAAATATGACTATATAATAATAATAATAATAATAATAATAACAATAGCAACTATCGTTAGTAAATAAAAATATTACACACGCATTTTTAACTGTAAAATCAAGTGTTTAACAATAATAAGAATAATAATAGTTGCAAAATATGAAAATATTTGTTGTAATATTTCACAGTAAAATACAAAAATTAATATTCAATAATAATAATCATCATCATCATCATTAAATATTACTATTATGAATAAATAAAAGTACAACGCAAACAAACTTTACTATAAAACAAAGAAATTAAGTGTTTAATATGAATAATTAAAACAAAACAAGTAGTATTTCTGTTGTAATATTTGACTGTAAAATAAAGAAAGTGAATATTATTAATAATATTAATAACAACAACTAATTATAATAATAATAGTTACTATTTTGTTATATATTCAAATTAATACATTGTTAATAAATAATCAAATATAGGATATTTATTATTATTATTATTAAATTGCACAGGTCTAATTGTTCACCCAACAAAAATGTTTTTTTGTCCACTGAAAATATGAATCTCCAATGTTTCATCATGTGAACGACTGACAAACAACCTGAAAGACTGAACGCACAGACTCGCTTTGTTATCTGCATAAAATTCAGTTCAGCACCTACTCTAAATTTTCATCTGACAAAATAAAACAGTCATCTGAGAAAAAAAAGCATCTGCGGAAATCCCTCATATTGGGAGAATCGGGTGTCATTTTGGGCCTCATTCATGACATGAGGAAACCTCATTTCTGTGTAAATCATTCATAAAACCATTCTTAAGTTAACTGTTTAAAAACATAAATTTGATGAAGAATTTACACAGAAATGTGCTCTCTTCCGCGATGCTGATCCAGCACCTGCACCGGAGCTGTGGTTAACTCACTACAGCGTCAGTGAAGGTGAGCGAGGGCCGAGAGATGATGATTCCCTCGTGTCCTCATGAGAAGAAACCAGAGCAGACCTCATGGAGAAACCTTAGCCAATGCATCTCAAAACGGCTGAAACTCTTCGGCCTGAAGATTCAGTGGTTCATAAACACAAGTGCAGGCGCCGGAGTCATGAAAGCAATATGCTTTGAGGCTATTTGTTGCTAGAGCACTAATGGCCTGATTCCTCCAGCTAGATTCGACTGCACTCTTGACTTCTGTGGAAAACGGGTTATTTTGTCCTCAGAAATGCTCAGAAAAGAACATTTCCTTCAGGAACACTGGCTTTAAGTAACGGTTATCATCATGAGCGACACATAAATGGGCGACTGTCACTAAAACTGACAAGAATGCTCTATATTTCACACCAAAATCAAAAGAAAATGGAGGAAGTGATTTTGCATAAGTACATCTAATTGCATTTTCAGTATCATTACAGTTTTTGTCAGTTATTTTCCCCCAGTTCTCATTTTTCATTTCAGTTGTTTATACACACACACACATTTATACAAACATACATACATATATGACAATGTAATGAACAAGCAAATCTAATGTAATTTATGCCATTATTAATTTAAAAAATAATAATAATAGTGACTTTCATTACTTTATTACTATTATTAGTAAACAACATGGGATTTATTGCATTAATAAGAATTCAAGGGGGAAATGTGTTTAATATCATGCAAATTCATACAAATATTGTTAGAATGCAAAAAGCTTCATTTAATTTATGCAAAATATAATAATGCCATATATTTAAATTATAATTAATTATTATAAATGGAATATATTTAATTATTGTATTTAAAAAATAATCATTTTATATATCTTTTGATGCAAGAGTGAAATACATGAACATTTCTTCATGAGATTCATCCACATAATGATTTAACCTGTTCAGCATTCAGTTTTACAGGTTAAAATAATGTTGTAATGTTTCACTATAAAATAAATGGAGTAATTAATAATAATAATAATAATAATAATAATAATAACAATAATTATATTATAGAGTGATTTTTAGGGCTGGACCAGAATATTAGATTATTCGAATATTCGTTCGGTGGGTTGGCATTCGATTTT